GAGAAAATATGGCACATTGCAAGATGTAAATCAGTTCTGTATAAATCAAGACATAGTTTGGAAATCTGACACATAGGATTTACTAGTGTCCCTAGAGATACATAGGCAATATTCTCTGCCACGTAGGATGACTTTGTAAGTAAGCCATTGTTTATTGCCAGGTTTATTCCCACAGCCATGTCAATGTACTCACAGTAAAAAGTGAATAGTCTAGTTGCTACCTTCATAAGATCTGAAATTTAAACCCTACGTATAAATCAAAGATGGAACATTTACTTGCTGTGTGACATTGAGAAATTCTACCTAGGCTCTTTAAACTAGTCCAAAGTACCAAGACCTCCTTTCTATATGAAAAATCCCCTTTGGTTCACACCAGCATAGAGATTTGAAGATTATTTTTTTAGGCTTCATCATTAAGCTTGAACATAACTACTTCTATTTAGGCTCCCTGCTATGTTTCTGGAAAATCACATATTTCAGTAAAATAACAGTATTTTATTGTATAAAAAAGTTTTTCCTAGAGACTTATAAATATATTAATTTACATTTAAATAATTTACAAGTAATCTATATTTTGGACAATCTTATGCTAGGAAACCAAAAAAGTATTAGATTCGAAAAAAGTGCAATAGTTTGAGGGTGAAAATTTTTGCAAAATTAAGTTTCAAATATGAAGTGATACCAGCAATGCAAAAGACAGAATCATTAATACAGATGATACTTATTATTATTTAATAAATAATTTTTATAAACAGTATAAAAACCCAGCAGTAGTTTATATCACTATTTATAGGTGACATGTTATTATCATAATGTAAAGTAAAATAAAGGGTAGTCAATGTAGGCTACAATTTTTAAGAAACTTTAGTGATCTTCTTTTATAATAGCCCAAGCGATTATCTCAAAGTAGTAGAGATACATTTTTTTACTATGTCTTGCAGAGCTTGTTTCACTTGCTTATTTCTTAAGGTATAAATAAAAGGATTTAATACAGGAGCAATTGAAGTGGTGAGTACTGCTATTCCCTTGTTTAAAATTATCCTTTCCTCAGCAGAAGGTTTAATATACATAAAAATACAGCTGCCATAAGAGATGGAGACAACAATCATGTGGGAGGAACAGGTAGAAAAAGCCTTCTTCCTCTGCTGGGCAGAAGGGATCTTCAGAATTGTTCTGATGATATTTGCATAAGAGACCATTACCAGTGCCAGTGTAACCAGGAGTGTGACAATGGCCAAAATAAAACTTAACAATTCTATGACTGCTGTGTCTGTGCAGGAGAGTTTCAGGACAGGAGAATAGTCACAGACAAAATGGTCAATGACATTGGCATCACAGAATTCCAACTTCAGGCCCATGAGAAGTCCAGGAGAGATGGTTAACAAACCAGCCAACCAAGAGGCAACAACCAACTGGTTGCAAACTCTGCTGCTCATAATTGTAGCATAATGAAGGGGCTTGCAGATGGCCACATAGCGGTCATAGGACATGGCAGCCAACAGAAAAAACTCTGACGCCCCCAAGAAAATGGCAAAAAATAATTGTGTCAAACAAGCATTGTAGGAAATATTGTTATCCATAGTCACTATGCTGACCAGGTATCTTGGGATGCAGACAGAAGTCAATGAGATTTCTAAAAAGGAAAAGTTCCGAAGGAAGAAATACATGGGTGTTTTGAGGTGGGAATCCAATAAAGTGAGTAGGATAATGATGAGATTTCCTGTGATACTCAGTAGGTATGTTAGGAATAAAAAAAGGAAAACCACTTTTTGCCAGTTGGCATCATCCGTCAGTCCTAGAAGAATGAATGTTGTCACTACTGTACGGTTACTCATTGTTAAACTTCTGAATTCCATCATATCTGAAAAAAAAAATGTAAGTAATGTTTAAAAATATTTCACTGGGTATGAATTTTTAAAAGGGCACATGAGTGGGACCAGCAAGTGGCGCTGGATTCCCACATGGCCAGCTGCGATTCAAGTCCCAGACCTGGTGGCTTGCTTTCTCACTTTCCCTCTTTCTCTGTCTCTCTGATCAAATTTGATAATAATAATAAATAAAGTTAAATAAAATAATCATTTTTTAAAAAATGATATGAGTATCAAATAACTCAATTAAACATATAGTATTTTCTTCTATGGTTTTAACTGCTTTTCCTAGGACCACCTTTACCATCTTTTTCTGGATTACTCATATTTTAAATTCTCTTTTCAAATCATTTCCCTTTGGAGAAAGAGTTTATTATTTTCTATCATAAATATCTGCATGCTCCTTTAGTTTAATTTTTGTCCATCATATTAATCAAAACTCTTGCTCTCTTACTGAATCCACAAGAAAATATTTTTTAGATTAACTTGGTTAATCCCTCCACTGTTAATGTCATATTCTGTTCAGTTTCTTTTATAAAGGTGTATTTTTATGTATATGTCTACTTTGAAAAGAGCTAGTTTAGAGACCAGCAGATGGCGTAATGGTTACATTACTGGATTTTCATGTATTTGACTGGAGTCTCAGACCTGTCAGCTTAAAATTCAGGCCAGGCTCAAAGGGACAAGCAGATAGTGTAATGGCTACATCGCTGGACTCCCAAGTAGTCAACTGTGGTTTGAGTCCCAGACCTGGTGATGGCTTAAACTCATGCTGGGCGCATATGCATGCGTGCCCAAGATACCTTGAGGAGAAGGGATTGTGAAGGGATTGCAGTGTGGCCATCGCCCCTGAGGTGTGATTGCTCGCTTTCTCTTTCTCTCTCTCTGTCTTTCTGGCAAGTGCACGCGCCCTATAGCAAAAACCTCTCCAAAAAAAAAACAAAACAAAAAACAAAACAAACAAAAAACCTCCAGAGAATTATTGCTCATGGGCTAGTCTAGAAGAGAAATTCAGACACTAAGAAATGTACATCAAACCTTTAATCATAAATTGCATAATTTCTTTGTCAAATTCTGAAATCGGTTTAATCTTAAGGTAACATATTTAGAATAAAATGGATTACTGTACACGGCAATTATTGTATTCATCAAACAACAAAGTACTGAAAACACTTTTCATGAAAACCGCAAGGATTTTGTTTGCTGATGTATCATAAAATTCTGTATCATTAACCAAAAATGTAACATAGATTATAATTTTCAAAAATATTTCTTTCTAACTCATATTTCCTTTTTGCTTCCTCACTCTCATCAAAAACCTGTTCATATTAAAATTCAAGGATATTTAATAAGAAACACTCACGTTGTTGGTCTCTTTGTTTCTTCTCATCTCTCTCTTACTTTTTCTTACTCTAATCAGCATTCATGGGGCATTTTCAGAATATTTTTCTGATTCCCCATCCCCAAGAAAAATAAATAAAGTCTAGGTTCAGCCCAAAATAAAATATAAAACTCTAAGTAATTTATTACTGTCAAAATAGTATATTTTCTTTGCTTCTTAAAAATTCTGGTCACATCTTAAGTTTTTCTTCTTCTTGCATAGAAAAGGTTTTGTCTTCAAATCTCAGTAGATCTTTATTCTTTAATAATGAGAGTATTTACTCAGCAATAATTAAGGGTCCTGGGGCTTATTATAAAGAGATACTAATTGACTATTTTCATGAACTCTAAAAACAAAAACAAATTAACAATGGTAATTAAGAGCTGAATTAGGACATCTATAGGGAAACCTGAAATGTTGATGCTAAAATGAAGTCTACTTTCTGTAGTGGGAGTGAAATGTTGCATTAAAAATTTGGGCTTTTCAAAAGTCTGTCCAAACAGAGAAGAAAACTGAAGAATAAAGATAAGAACACTGACATCCTTGTAATGACAATATGTCAGTTAATACATCCACATGTTTACCTCAAGCATTTTGTAGTCAGTCTCCACTTCCAACCCACAGTACTTGGAATCCATACATTCCTTTATTGTTTTGTTTTTTTCAAAATGTAATGGAAAGGGACTCATACAGTATATAGCTTTGAGCTTGGCTTTTTTCACTTTGTTTAAAGCTTTTGAGCCTCATCTATGACTTTGCATATATTGTTGGTTTGTTTCTTTCCTGCTGTGTAGTGTTTCATTACATGAATATACCCATTCACCAGTTGATAGAAATGATAAAACTTTAAGTTTCACATTTAGGTAGATCTATTATGAGTTGTCAAATAACTCAGCATTTGTGGTTCAGATTTTTGTTTAAGGAAGTTCACATTTTCCAGCATAGCTTATTGAGAAAAGAATGGTATCATTGAACTGTCTTGGCATTTATTTCAGAAGTTGTTTTACTGTACACATGTAAGATTATTCTGGAACTTTATCCTTGACTAGTTTGTCTCTCTTTTACTAATACCATATTCTTTTTTTTTCTCCTGAAACTTTTTTTTAATTAATTAATTTACACTCATCCCCTAATCATCATCACAGCATACAAAATGTGGTTTTCCATCCAGAATATACTGCATAGTGGCTTAATCATGTATCTTATCATCAATAATTTTCCATTTCTAATTGCATATATATATATATATATTTACCCCTATGTCTGACCCTCTGCCCTTTCCCACCCTCTTCTCACACTATCTCTGATGTCTACAGTTGTCTCCCATTCCTTTTCCCCCCACATTTTATTGATCACACAATTTCTTAAATAATCTACTTTCAATAGCAAGTTCAGCTGGTAATTTCAAGAAAAGCAGTTTTGAATTGGTAAAGAAATTTGATTAAAAATTAAAGCCTGGAAACAAGTTGGTATTCTGTTCGAATAGTAGATTCACGAACCTATTGAGAGGTCAAGACAGGACAAAAACTCTTAAAACTGGACAACAAAACCTAGAAGAAAAGTAGCAATATTTTAGTCAAAAGTCACAGAATGCTATTTCACCAGTTCAGTCTCATGTACTTAATCTGTCTTCTGTTGTGGTTTGATCTTTTTAATTGAATTCTGGGATATAATATTCAACTCCAGACTTGTCCCTACGAATAAGTTGGCCATTTTCTTAGTTTTTGAACTCTTATTTGTGTGTCTGCATTAAAAATATGGAACGCTTCATGAATTTGCATGTCACCCTTGCGCAGGGACCATATTAATCTTCCCTGTATTGTTCCAATTTTTTAGTATATGTGCTGCCGAAACGAGCACCCAATACCGTATTCTTTTACTAAATAACAGACAATGCTTATTAATTTTACCTTACCATACAAAAATTTATAACAGAAAATATATAAATATAAATAAATAGTATTATGTCTGTTATTCTCTCATTTGTTTCTATCTGATAAATATATAAAAATTTTTAAGTCCTAAACATATATGTTAAATCATAAATAATAAAGATTTTCCAATTATGTACTTTTTCCCAAAGTTATGTTGATGAAACTGGATTCTTCAGCTTTCTGTCTAAATTTAAAATTAAGCCTGTAATTTCAACAAACACAAAAAAACATTTCCAGTTTTATCTTTACGTGCAAAGAACTTTAAAGTCCTATTCTTACATAAAAAATGCTGGATAAATTTAAAATTGCTGACTTTTCTTGAACACTTCACAGTTCTGCTGGCACAGATATGGTGCAGCCCTGAAAACAGGAGAGATTAGTAAATCCAAAGAGTCACAGCTAAGATATGCTTTCCTGGAACAGAACTGCTGAAGCCCAAAACTGGTATCAACAGTGAAATAACAAATTGGTAAAGGCTGTGTGTACACTATAATGAGACTGACAATTTATTTTTAACCAATAAATTTTCTTTTACTGAATACATGCTCTGTATTCATTGCATTAATTTATAACAATAGTATAATCTGAGAAATAAATCCTATAAATCCCAACTAAGGTAGAGTTGACAAAATACCTGATAGTCCCCCAAACTTTCAAGTTGTGAAAGAAACAAGGAAATTTTGAGGTCTTGCCACAACCAAAAGAAGCCTAAGGACGAGACTGAATATCTTGTATCTTGGAACAGACTCTGGCACAGAAAGAGTACACTAGAGAAAATTGATGAAATCTAATTAAACTAAGGATGTTAGTTAATAATAATGTATCCACATTGATTCGCTAATTACATTGGATATACCAAGTTAATAGAGGATGGTAATAAGAAAAACCGCATAAAATGTACATAGAGAGTCCTTCTACTATATTCACAATGTTTCTGTCAGTCTGAAACTCCTGAAATTAAATGTTTATAAGGAAAAGAAAGGTAACTGCTGAAATTTTTATTGGAATTTTGTTGAATCTGTACATAGATGTGTTGAGCATTTAAATGTTGATACTGAGTTTTCTACAGAATAAACATGCCATAACTTTCTGTTTAGTTAAGTTATGTTTTGGGAGATTATTTTTATTTTTTTCCATAGTTTTATTCTTTAAAATAAGGTTATGTCTGGAAACAATCTTAAATTTTCAGCAAGGTTGCAAAGATAGTATAGTACGTAGAGTTTGTGTATAAACTGCAGCCCGTTTTTTATAATTTTATCTTATCTAATTATGGTATATTTGTCAAAATTAATAAATCAATAACTGTATAATATCATTAACTTACTATACATCTATGCATGTTGTTCCTATTTCACTAATTTCTCATTTTTCTCTTTTTTCATGCCAGAATCAAAAAGGTTACTACATTGCACTTAGTCATCATGTCTTAATGTATAGTTTCTTTCTTTCTTTCTTTCTTTTTTCTTTTTTTTTTTTTTTTTGAGAGGTTTTTGCTATAGGGCACGTGCACTCGCCAGAAAGACAGAGAGACAGAGAGACAGAAAGCGAGAAATCATCCTCCAGGGGGGATGGTCATGCCACAATCCCTTCTCCTCCATTCTCCTCTGAGGGTCTTGGGCACACACGCACACGTGCCCGGCATGTGTTTAAGCTACCAGATCTGGGACTTGAACCTTGGTCGACTACATGAGAGTGCAGCAACATGGCCAATATGCCAACTGCTGGTCCCAGTTTCTTAGTCTTATAATTTTCACAACCTTAACAGTTTTGAAAACTAATTTTATTAGTTTGAATAGTGTTTGCCAAAAATTTATAAACACGTTAAACTTGACCTCTTTGAAGATAGTCTCTTTGCAGAAGTAATTAGTTAAAATAAGTTCAAAGTTAATTAAAGTGGGCCTTAACTCCAGCATAACTGATATCCATTAATAAGAGAAGGACATACACATAGTGAAGAGGATAGTGGGAGACAGTAATTGGAGTGATAGAGCTGGAAGCCAAGGAACACACATCAAAGACTACTGGTAACTATCAAAAACTGCAAGGAAAGGAAGAATTATTTCCTAGAACCTTCAGAAATGATCCTAGTGACACCTTATTTTTAGACTATTAACCTTCAGAGCTGTAAAAGAATATATCCTGTTGTTTTAACCCACCAACTCAGGTATTTTGTGCAGTTGCTCTCAGTTTGAGATTGTTTGGCATTTTCTCAGAATTAGACTTCAGTCTAAAGCTTTTTGGAAGACTACAGAAATAAAGTGCTGCTCTCTTGGGTCCATACAGTTGCATAGTGGTTACACGGCTGGCTGTGGCTCAAATCTTGGCAGCTTTGCATTCCCAAAATCCCAAGAGAGAATGGAGGAGAAAGGGTTACAGTGCGGCCATTCCCCCTGGGTGTGTGTGTGGCGGGAGGGTTCTCATTTTTTTCTCTGTCTGTCTCTCTGGTGAGCACACATACAAAAAAAAATTACTCTAAAAATAAAGTACTGCTCTAATCACAATTTGGGTACATGATGTCAGCGTAATTCATTAATGGTGATGTTAATCTTGATCACTTGGATAAAATGGTGTTTTCCAGTTTTCTCCACTTAGTTACTATGTTTCTCTTTCCACATTCAAGTTTGTTTTTAAGTGAGTTACTGAATGTAGTCTATTCTTGGGGGACAGAAATTTATTTCTGGTTTCTGTAATGGATGATATTTACAAATATTATTCAAGACACATTTCTAGGAAAGACTTATTTATACTTCCACATGTACTTGCTTACACAATATTTTTATATCAGATTGACTAATGGATATGCATTGTATATTCTGTGTTATAAAACAATATAATCACTGGTTTATTTTTGTTTTAGTTCTACTCACTGATGAACACTTCATGCTGGCTCCTGAGTATTTCATCATGCTATCTTTTTTGGTTTTGAGCAATTTTTTGCTTTCTATGACTATAATATTATCCAAGTTTATCTTATCATGCAGCTACTGCAGTCTTAGACTCATTTTTCAAAGAAGTCTTAGTTCTGGTTATTGGAAAATGGTGTTTAGAAACCACATGGTACTTTCTGGTTGGATCCTGAGTCTTTTTTTTTTTTTTTTTTTTGAGAGGTTTTCACTTTAGGGCGCGTGCGCTCGCCAGACAGACAGAGAGGGGCAGAGAGACAGAAAGCCAGAAATCACCCCCCGGGAGGATGGTCACACCGCAATCCCTTCTCCATTCTCCTCTCAGGATCTTGGGCATGCACGTACACGTGCCCGGCGTGAGTTTTAAGCCACCGGGTCTGGGACGCGAACCGCGGTTGACTACGTGGGAGTCCAGTGACATAGCCATTACGCCAACTGCTGGTTCCCGGATCCTGAGTCTTTCCAGAATGATCCCATCCTGTTTGTCGTTTCTTTCTTTGTTCTGTTTATTCAAGGTTTTCATTATTTCCTTATTTCTGTTACCAGAAGATGTTCAAATTGTATTTATTTTCCTTCTCAGGTCTAGAACCACAATTTCTACCAAGAGTTCTGATACATCTTATTAGAAAATCATATTTAGCAATAAGGTCTGATCATGAAGTCTGCTTATTGATACGAAGATAGCACTGCTACTCGCCCTCTCAGTTCATAGACCTAAGTAATATATGTACATTTACTAACCCACATATAAACATACATACACACAAACACACACATCCACTCACAATTTTTAATCATTTTTAACTTATACCAATATTTTATGCTAGTATACTAGTATATTCAATTCTAATCTCTGATAATAGTCCTTGTCTTAAAATCTACTTTGTCTGAAGGTAATAGCTGCATCAGATTCTGAGTTGGTGTTTTCCTGGTATCTCTTTTACTTTTAACTTATCTGTAGCTTTATGTTGTTTATCTGATATAAGGCAAATGTAATAATGTATTTTATTTTATTCAACTGATAGTACTTGATTTTGACCTGTGTTGTAGAACTCTCACTTTTCAATTAATAGAGTATTAGTTAGAATAAAATGAACTGCCTTTTTTTCTGTTTTTAATGATTTCTATTTGCTCTTTGTTTCTTCATTTTTAATTATTACTGTGACTTCTCTTGGTTTAAATGGGCTTTTTTTTGAGAGAGAGAGATTTATGCTATTGAGTACATGTGCTCACCAGAGAGACAGAGAAAGACTGAAATCAACTCAACTCTCACAACCCCTCCAAGCAAGATGGCTATGCTGTAATCCCCCTCTCCTCCTTTCTCCTCTCAGGATTTTGGGCACTCACGCACATGTCCTCGGCATGAGTTTCTAGCCGCCAGGTCCAGGATTCAATCCACAGTTGACCATGTAGGAGTTCAGCATCTTACACTACCTTCTGGCACTTTAAATGGTCATTTAAAAAATTAGTATTATATCATGGGGCCAGCAGATGACATAATGTTTACATTGCTGAACTCCCACATCATAGTTCAAGTCCTGACCCAGAGCTTAAAACTCAAGCCAGGTTCAAGTGCATGCATGCCCAAAATCTCAAGAGGAGAATAGAGGATAAGGGATTGTGGCATGGCTATCTGCCCTGGGGATTATTTCTCACTTTGTATCTCTGTCTCTCTGACAAGTGCATGCACTCTGTAGCAAAAATCTCTCTAAATAAATTATTCTGTTGTATATCCTCAGGTAACTTAATTTAGAAGAGTACTTTTAAAAATTTGAGGAAATTGAAATTAAAGTATGAATTTATTTGTGCAGAACAAAATTGATATACAAGTATATTTTTTTCATCATATACATTTTCTGTGAACTTTTAAAACTATCGCTCATACATAGTGAGATAATTTACATTTTTAGAGGTTGTTTGATAGTACACATATACATCTTAACCCAAATGCATCAAACTTTAAATAATATTACATTTTTTAATGCAATGAAGTGTTCCTATGGCTATATATTCCTAATTCTTT